TTGTTAGGTTGGAGGCCATTGCTGTACATAAGGTTGGAGGCCATCGCAATTAGGTTGGAGGCCATCGCTGGTAGGTTGGACACCATTCCTGTTAGGTTGGAGGCCATTGCTATATATTAGGTTGGAGGCCATCGCAATTAGGTTGGAGGCCATTGCTACTAGGCTGGAGGCTATTAGGTTGGAGGCCATCGCTAGTAGGTTGGAGGCCATCGCCACTAGGTTGGAGGCCATTGCTATTAGGGTGGAGGTCATCGCTATTAGGTTGGAGGCCATTGCTATATTAGGTTGGAGGCCATTGCTATTGGGTTGGAGGCGATTGCTATTTGCTATCAGGTTGAACGCCATAGATATTAGGTTGAAGGCCATTGCTATTAGGTTGGAGGCCATTGCTATTAGGTTGGAGGCATCGCTATTAGGTTGGAGGCCATTGCTATTAGGTTGGAGGCATCGCTATTAGGTTGGAGGCCATTGCTGTTAGGTGGAGGCCATTTCTATACAGGCTTTACAGGGCATTGTCAGCTTCAGGTCCAAGCCCCACCTGGATTGGAGGACTGATCGGAGTGGGTACATACATACTATGTACATGTTGGCGCTTAGTGGACCTGCCCAGCACTGGTTCCTACCAATTTCACTCAAGCTCATCTGTCAGAATCTGTACAAGGCAAGCTGCCGCCAAGCACTTTGTTCTGCTCAAGGCCTGCTAAGATCTCTTGTAAGCGAAACTTTGATTTGCTGTGCAAGCTGCTGCATCAAGGCCACGACCTTGCCGAGGCACGATGGCTTTTTATATATATATATAATTTGTTGCTGTTGTTCAACGGTTCTCCACACAATGATTCTGATTCTTGCAGGATCTCAAAGCTGCATTGATCAAGCAGGCTCACCCGTTTGCTGGACAGCAGGATCAACACTGAGGATGCGGAGGTTTGCACGATCACCTCATAGTTGCAGGTCACAGAGGCGTGCAAAGAGCACGTGAACCAAAAAACTCAAGAAGCGGCTAAGGCCTTAGCGGTGAAAACATTTTCAAGTTATTCGAGGCTGATGCTAGGCCTCACTCACTCCAAACCACCAAGGTGGAGACTCTTTGGAAGCGGGGGCAGAAAGCAATCCTGCAAGCTCGGCTGAAGTCTAATGAGCTTTCCATTGAACTCTTGTATTTTCTATACCAAGTTTTAGTTGCTCTAACTGATCAGTGCTCAGCCATGCCAGGACTATGCAGCAGCAGCATTCTGATACCACTGAGCAACTGAGGAGTCTTGCTCCCAGCCACAAGTGCACTTCCAATTGCTGTATACAGTCTTTAATCTCTTGCACTAATCGAGGCCAGCTAGCAGCCTGCGCTGAGTCATTGACATAGTTTCCAATTTCTTAGGACAACTATGGAATGGTCATTTTTTGGATGGAGCTTGTAACTTTGACAGAGAATCTAAGGTCTCATCGAAACCTTGAGCGTGAAACTGTTATTTTGCGTGCCAATCTGGAGGCATAATAGCAAGTGTCGTAGCGGCTTGTATGTTATATAATGTATATATATGTATATTATATAACATGTTTTTGTTTGCCGGTCCGTTTGAATCGGCAGGCAATGATGAAGCATTTGACCATTCTGTTCGGAGTTCCGTGCAGGGCTCAGGCAAGCAGTAGCATAGAGAGGACTGAGTTGCTGTGAAGGGAAAATGATGTTCTTTAATGCAAATTGCATGCGAGTAGTTGCTTAGGCATTGCGAACCCACCTTGGACCTATGGCAATTTGAAGAGAAGGCTGGTTGTGGCTGGCTCTGTGTACAGAAAAATACAGGCATATGAATCATATTTTCATTATAGACTCCGGTCATCAACTCTCAAAGCTGCTCCCAGGATGAGACAGAACATGAGGAGTTTGAAGCTGGGGGCTCGGCTGGACTTAGAATTTGACGATCCCCGAGTGCTCGGGTTCGTCCCAGGGTTGTAGATTCTGATGATACGCGCACACGTGGCACCATAGGACCTGGAAGAGCCAGCTCGTGTGCCTGTTCCTGCTAACTGTGTGGAACATGCTGAGGCAAGGTCTTATATATGTTGAGACACATCGACACATTGTTTTGTTAGAAAACACGGCGAGATTGAAAACTCCAAGCCCCCACTTGCTTCTAGTATGTTGAACAGTGTTGTATCCTGCTTTGTCTCACATTGCAGGCTTCCATTGCGGGCTCTGGAGGAACCGGTGTCTTGACAAAGCACACCAGCGTTCCAGTGTTGGCTCCCGCAGCCTCCCAGACCAGACCATGAGTTGGCTTTTTGCCTCGAAAGTCCAAAGACACACTGAGTAACGATGGCCTCCACCCTAATAGCGGCGGCCTCCAACCTACTAGCGATGGCCTCCAATAAAGTCTAAAGAACCATAACCATGAGTTGGCTCTTTGCCTAGGCTCTGAATCTGCTCCATCGTCCGAGCTTCTGCGTTGCAGTCTGTTACAGTTGGTTCTGAATGTTTCTGAAGCATTGAGATGCGTTGAGTGTCTTTTGCAACTTCAACATTGTTCCACACTCAGTACTGGCCATTCAAGGCCCACTGCAGCTGGACACACTCCACCTGAGGTCGCACTCTGCCGTGAAATCATGCACATTTTGCCGAGTCTGACTAAATCATCTACAGATTTGAAAGCCGCTCCCAAAGGATAGAAAGAGAGGACCCTTACCTCCTTCTATTTTTTCAATTATTTTGTTTCGTTCTTCTTTTCTTTGTAGGGAAGATATGGATCAGGCCACTACATTCTCGTTGATGCTTCGAAGAGCGGACAATGTCCCCGTTGGACTTCATGTTCAAGGTGCGCTTGGTCCAAAAGTACCAGGCATCGCATCTTGCTTGCTTTTGGCCATAGGTTACTGTAGCCGAACCCTGAAGGAGAGACATCACTAGGTTTCAACAATGAATCCAACAAGGGGCATTGATATGACATGATATGACCATAGCATACCATAATAAGTAGCCGCTAAATATCCCACGAACTGATTGACTGACGACTGACTGCATATCATTTTCCGGCTGTAAAGTTTCCGCAGCTTCTGCAACTTGCCAGGTGATGACGGCCTTCTTGTGGAAAGGATATTGCCAGGAGGTGCAATCGAAGCCTGGAACAAGCAATGCCCTGGAGAAGTGCGAGAAATCCGTGTTGGAGATAGCCGGGAACCCAGAAGAAGCCTTCAGATGGTTTGGTTCGCTGGATTGCTTCTGAGAATCATGACAAGAAGACATGAAGAACTGAACCACGGATAGCGACAGTATTTTCACTACAACATTAGGAATCATCATGATCAATGGGCAGGAGGCTGGGCATAGCAGGGCAGGGCTGGTCACAGCGATCACCCCACCCTTGAAGGCACCACAAATAACTTGTGAGCTGTAGACCTCTCTTAGATTTTTCCTTCTTTCCTTTTCTCATTTGTGGTTACCATTGTTTCACCTTTTCTCATTCCTCTCCTTTGGGTTCCTTCAGGAGCTGGAAGCCATGCGGCATCAATGCCTCACAAAGCTCCTTCTGAAGATGACCGTGCTCCGAAGCCCCGAGGCCATTCTTGAATGAACTACGTGAATTTGCAAGGTACAGCGAATGGCAATGTGATACATCTGCGGGGCCGGTGACTTTAGCTTCTTCATGATTTGTCAAAAGTCAAGGTTGTTGGATATCAGGATTTACTTGTCGAGGCTCTATGTTTCACTCGCTGGCGCCTCGAGGGATTGCACTGCTTAAACTTCTGGAATTGTCTAGGTCTAGGCAATTCAGCAAAACGCAATGAAATACATGATACATGCGAAAGCCAGGTTCAGTGTTCTGGCACCGGTGGCCTGCTCGCCAGGTCTCCACTGAAAGTGGGAAAAGAAGCTTCTTTGACCAAAATAGTGCAGTTGAAATTAGTGTCAAGCCAGACATTTCAAGCAACGACGTTTGAGAATCACTGGTAGAACAGCTTCAGAGAAATGTGCACTGATACAACCAAGTTTGGCTTGGAAATTCAGGGGTTAGTTGGTAGCCTGCAGGGGACTCGCAGGCACCTCATAGCACCTTGCTAAGTGGTGCAGGCATTTGCTCACTTTGGGTGGATCCAGCATTTTGAAGTATACTTCTAAGTATGCCTTGGTCGAACTTTTCTTTCCAGTCCCTTGGGACATTTTGACTCAAGCAGATGCCATTTATGCGGAGACGGTCTAAACGACACTTGACTCGGAGAAGGTCCTTCTGCTGTAGACTCCATTGGGACGATCTAAGAGGGAGATCGTGGAAGCAGCAGAGACTCAGGGCAGGTTGAAAAGTTCAAGAAGGCTACTCAGCTACTGTAAGATTACGCAGAATGAACGTTTTCGGTTTGTGGCAACTTAAATGTTTGTGTTGAGAGTTGAAAGCTGGAAATTCTTTGGGGCTCAAGCAGGATAGACAGGATAATCAGATGCATTGAATGATGGGTAGAAACAAGGAAAGCATCTGCGTGACATTGACAACGAAAGAATGACGGAGAAAGCTCAAGAAAACACGGCAGTGAACCACAATTCAGGCACAAATGACAAGCAGAAAGGGGCTACCGCAGAGTTCGCAGAGCACACTGATTCTGGTGACTTGCAGCATCGCAGCAACCCGAAGCGCTTTTATTGGACTGACTGGACCAGTGATGAGCTCAAATGGCATCATTTTGGCTCAGCAAGCGTCTGGCTGCTTTGGACACCTTCCCGAGCGAGGCAAAATACTGAGTTGTCCGTCACGGAAGGAAGACAAGACTAAAAATAGAAGAAACACATACATAAAAAGACGGACAGGTTCAAGATAATCTACGTTTTATTACTTCTTCATTTCCTGGATCCTTCCATGTTCGCATGTCCGAGCTTGTTTGAGGACTTTGGCTCCCGCCCAACCACTCGCTCTAGCTACAGGAGCCAACAAGATGAGAGGGATGAAGAAGAGGCGTAGCGGATAACTACTTTTGTTTGAAAAGTAGTTATTTTTGAAGCCTGTCCAGTCTTTTCATCAGTTTTGGCGGGTAACAACTTGGCAGGTTGTTTACCGGAGACAGGATGAGATTGAGGTCACCCAAGATGATCTGGTGGAGTTTGCTACAGATGGCATTCTGACCGACATCAATCTTGCAGGGTCCACTCCACAAGAAGAACTAGGACCGCGCTGCATGCGCTTGATGGGATCTTTCTGGAACCCAAATGACATGAAGCTCTCCAAATGTTATTAGAAACAAAAAGCTACTAGGAACAAGTGCATCGCTTCTAGTAACAAGTGCCTTACTAGTAGTAACAAGCTAAATTCTTGATAGGCAATGCTGGTTTCAAGAATCTTAGCCTGAGTCTTGCTCACAAGGCCGAATGCTCAGCTTTGTCAACTTGATCATGCATAGACACACAGAAGGAAATGGATGGTAATGTTTGAACACCCGAGGTAAGCAGTCTAAAGAGGCAGTTGATGCAATTTCTTCTCATTCTTGTATATTCTTGTTAAGTTTGTATTTGTAGCTGTTTGTAGCTTCACCTCCGAACCTTCAGTTTTCCTTTGTGAAGGTTGAGCCTTCGCAGAGTGGGCTTGTTTGGTGCAGCGGGATTTAAGGAGGTTCATGGCTCGAGTATGCTCAAGTGCCAAGACTCAAGTCATCCATGACCTGCTGAGTCGAAGGTTGGTCGGTTGCTCACTCGTTGCGCATCCTTGGAGGCCGCAAATTCAGTTCCCCAAAGTCACACATATAGCACTTTGATATACAGTATGCCAGACATTTGCCAGATATAACTTTAATATACTACTTTAATATACTGTATGTCTTATAGTTTAACATTCTTGCCAGTTCCTGGATGTGAGCAGTCGAAAACTCAGTCGTCGAAGGAAAGGGACATCATATTATGACTGACATCCACGACTTCTTTCCCGGTTTTTTTTAAAGAGAAAGACAGGTGAAGAGATGTTAATGGTCTCTTCGCAATTGATGTCACAATGATGCCAAGACAACGATGCTGGGCCAGATGGCCTACGGGGAGACTTTTGCGAAGCTTTGGATGATGCGAGGCAGAGTAGAGTGATGATTTCGCTCAAAACCACACTGGCTGGGAAAACATGCTGACAAAAACGTTCTCTAAAATTGCTCGTTGTTGCTGGAAGGTCACTCAGAGTTCTGGAGATGCGGGGTTGTGGTCTTCGCGATAGAGGGTCTTGGGCTCCAATGTTCATTTTTGACAAGCCATGACAAGACCACGCTTGGCACACTTGGCATTGGGTTGCAAGAACTTGCATGAGGCTTGATCCTCTTTGTTCTGTGTCAACCTGGCATGCTTGTTCAGAAAGCATGGATGAGAGTAAGAGTATTCTCCTGGACTCCTCATGGTCAAATGCAGGCTGGAGCGCGTGGATGAGGGGCTGAGGCCGGAAGGAAGAGCGTAGTCCAGCTGTATATTGGAGAAGAGGTGTTTTCATGGCTTTGAAAAGCTTTGGGCTTCAATGTCGGTGTCAAAGGCCTGTGGTGGCAGTGCAAAAGTTGAGTTTGAGTACGACCCTTGCTTGCACTTAGACAGGTCTTAACTTGATTCTCTTGATATTTCTTGCACCTTTGGACACATTGGATATAGGTCACAGTGCAAGACGCATGTTCCTATCCGAGGAACCACATTACCGCTGAGGGTGCGAGGAACGACTTGTTGGTCACAGCTGTTTTTGCAAAAAAGCTCCTAGTAGCGTTCTTGTTCCTAGTAGTAAGGCCAGGAGCCCCTAGTAGCGTCCCTGCTCCTAGTAGCGATGCCCTTTGCTCCTAGTAGCGTCCTCTACACCAGTGAGCCTTTGGATGCCTCTTGCATTTCATCCACAATCTGCATTTCAGAACAATTGTGTGAACGTCCGGGTGGTAGAGGCGCTTGGGCATGATGCTAGCAACGAACCTGAAGCTGGAGGCAAGCTCACCAATACCTTGCTCGTCTTTGTGAGGGATATTGCAGGCATTACACTTCTTAAATCTAAACATAATGGCCAAATATGTGCGCGACAGCTTGATGACTTCTAAATTAGCAGTGATTCGCACTACTTCCTGTCCTTCCTTTTTGATGTCCTTTTCCTGCTAACCTATAAGTGCAGAGGGGTACCAAATGTTAGGTTAGCTGTGCTTCAGCGATGGGTTCGCTGGTAGTTGTTTCCATACGTTCCTTCTCTCAAGTTCTTGCTGAGAATCAAGGATCTGGACATCTCTGACAACGACCTGCAACAGGCCTCACGGACATGATGGACATGTATTCATTGTCAGTGTGAAGAAAAGACTTAGTTACAAGAATTCCGAAGAATTCCAGACTTGAAACTCCGGAGGCCGGAGGTGAGCACATCGCAGATGGTCTCATTGGCAACAAGGCAATGGCGAAGAAACCAACACGGACCGACGGACCGATACAGACATTTTCCCTGTCTTACTTGGTTCACAAGGCCACCCCAGAACAAAACAGCCAGTGCAGCTGGCATTAGAAAGATCTGATACACTCCGCTTCCAGGTTCTCCATGACATTGTTTCAGAACACGTACGCAACCAATTGCAGCGCCAGTGAACCAAACTCCTGCATTAAGTGGTGACATGTGGTAACAGATGCAAAGACCTATCATTTGCTTGGTATTGCACTTGTCTAGTGCCTTTGTAACACACAAAAACACACTCCGCAAATGCGTACAGAGCTGATTGCGGTTTGCCACCCGCCAGCCTAAGTGAAAAGATTGCCTGAGTAAAACGGGGAGAGATAGGTTGGAGGCCATCGCTATTAGGTTGACTCAGCTTCCGTAGTTTCATGTCGAGTGCCGGTGTTCAATCGGAAAATGCAGGTAATTACGTTTACAGCTCTCACCATTGGCCTCTTTGTTGGCCATCCACCAATGGTGAGAGGGATGGCCCCCTGCATTTTAACACCAATAGGTGACCACCTTTGATTCCAATATAATATATATATATATGTACACACACACACGGAACTTCAATGCCACATATTAAGGTATACAAGGAAATCTATTCTGAACCGCAGCACGACGATGGCATCCACTGCCGTGTTTCTGCATATCATAGCCGCCACTGCAAGCTTTTGGGCCCAGTACTTGTACGATCTTACTTGTACGATCTTAGCCACCAGCAACATCATTTTGCAAGGTCGTTTGTGCTGCCAACATTAGGGTTGCTCCCTTTGGGTGCCAAGTGAGAGTTCTTCCAGCAGACAGCCACGATGGGAAATCATGTCAAGAAAGGATTCTAATTCTGATAGATCTACTGTGCACTTCCCACTGAATTCCACTGAAGAAAACATTTAGCAATGCAGATACAGTCTACTCAAATAGAGCAGTCTTATTTTCGGAATGTGAATGGCTTTTGCATTCCCGCATCAAAAGAAATCCGACGAATCCCAGATTGGTTGACCACCAACAAAGGGACTAACAACCGGATCCCGGACAACCCGAGCCTTTCAGTGGCATGGACTATTTCATGGCATTTATTTAGTGCATGTACATCGCACGGAGCTGGTTTCTTGGTTCCAGGGCAGACTGCAGAAGCTGAACATTTCGCACAATCGCCTGCGAGTCTCCAGCTTGCCTAATTTGGACAAAAAACACAGCTCATTGAC